AAAATCCTAGTTAAGTCAAATCCGCTTCACGCTGCACGCCGCTTCACGCCGACCGCTTCACGCTTACGCTTCCCGCTGCGCTCGCGTCTGCCACCCAGCGCACGCCGCCTAACACCGCACGGCCCTGCACGCTACTCTGTACATATTTCTCTTTCAATAAACTATCTTTCTACCTATACTGTGTCTACGCAAGCTTGAATCTCCCCTCCTCTCGAACCCGGACACCGACGAGCCGATCCGAGCGTCGAGCGAGGTGACCGCGTTACAGTTTCTTCGAGTAATTGCAACTGGCTCCTTGTTTCTTCAGGAAGTCTAATCCTAATATTCCGTCGTATTCGATCGGAAAATCATCTTTTACGACATACATTTTATGTTTCGCTCTATCGTCGTTTAAATTTATTGTGGCGTTGATTCTTCCTATCGTATATACTTTATGTCCTGTTACTCCTGTAAGCGCTATTTTATCTTCTGTTATTAGCGTTTCGTCTTTTAAATGCTTTACTTTAATTAGTGATATAGCGGCTCCCGTGTCGAACAATAAATTTATTTTTCCTTTTTTCGATTCTCGCATAGGTAAAGCGACTAAGTCTAGTCCTGTATGCGTTCGCGGGGCACGCTTCACGTGTGTAACGCGATATTCGATTGCGGGTCGTCGCTGCTTCGTTTCTTCCTTGTCTTCCTCGTCACTGCTGTGCGCAGTGTTAGATCTCCTTTCTGCTTACTCGTTGCTTTTGCGATTTTTATTTTCCGGTCGCGAATTATATTGTTTGGTTCGGCTCGATTGATATATATTGGGTCGTCCGTGAGTAGTGATACTATGCGGATTCTAAGCCAGGGGCTGTGAGGGGGTGAGGGGCGAGGGGGGAAATCAGGACAAGGGGGGTGACGTCACGAGGGGCTGACGTCACGCGAGGGGGGGGTGGTATGACGTCACGCGGGCGAATCGCGTCCTAACCGATAGGCGAGCGGTCCGCGGGTCCTAACCGATAGGCGAGAAGTCCGCGCGTCCTAACTGGTGGGCGAGGGGTCCGCGGGGAGAGGGACCGCGTCCTAACCGATAAGCGAGAAGTCCGCGCGTCCTAACAGGTAGGCGAAGGGTCCGCGGAGAGGGGGAAGGGGACCGCGTTCTAACCGATAGGCGAGGGAT